CACACACACACACACACACACACACACACACACACACACACACACACCTTAACTAATCTGATCCAAGCTCATCAAAGCATTGTGTAAATCAGTCAAGTCTAGTTTTTATTTTATGTCTCATACGATCAATTATCTCTTCCAGCTCTGTTGAGTCATCTCAGCTTTCAGCCTATCATCATCAATTGATCGGTCCGTGTTCCCAGAGCACAGAACTGCAAAGTCTTTCATTTTGGAGCCTTCTTAATTTGCTCTAAGAAAAACACACAATTATTTACTTTTGAGAGGTTTTTGGTACTGGGGAGCACATGGAATTAGCAACCTTTTGTAAAGTCTGAAATCCAACACTTTGATTGATTTTAACTGATCATTAGTCCTGATCCTCAAATTTATTTATTTACTGAGGAGGTATCTTTTCAGTCCCGCCTGATTCAGCTGATTTATTTATTTATTTATTTTAAGACCCAAATGAAAAAGTCACACACACGCGCGCACACACACACACACACACACACACACACACACACACACACACACACGTTCTATCTTAATCTTTAGTCAGGGGTTAACACATTGACCAATAAAAAACCATGTCCTCTGACTGAGACTTGTACTGCATCATCTGTCTATAGAAGGTATAAATAATAAAAACAGGTAGAAATGCTCCCAAAATACTTGGAAATAAAGTCTGAGGACTGTGCAGCGTTAAAATAATTGTGTTGAAACTAATGCGGCCTCTTCATCTTATTTGAGTTATTCTCTCCCGAATGTGTGAGGTTCAAAGTACACAAGGAAACCACGACCATGGCCTACATGTCTCTATAAGATGCAACTTTGCCCCTTGAAGCCCATTACTTAACTCATTTTACAGTTTTGTAAGACTTTACAGCTCTTCGGGTTTCTCTTACCAAGACAGAGAAGCACCAAAGACACGTCAGCCAGCGCTGCATTTGAGGGAGAGAGGTGGAGTTCAGTTTTGGACCATCCCAGCCCGTTCTGGTTGAGTCTGGACAGTATGTAGTCTCTGCACAAGGCTTTAGACTGGGACACCAGCTCCTTCTCAGTCAACGATCGGTCAAACACGTCCAGGACCTCCGCCGCAAACACAGAGGACCGCCGCAGGACCTTCATGTCCTCCTGCAGGGGGGGTCAGGGTCAGAGAGCGTCTGACCTCCTGGGATCAGCTGTATCTCGGCGTGTCCTCTCTTAATCCCAGAGGAACAAAGTTTAATGCTGAAGTCAATATGGCAGCTGTGGAGGACAGAAAACCCGTATTCAGAGGCAGCGAGCCAGACTTGGTTAGAATTACATCCCTTAGTCTTAAAATGTTTCTGTCAGACAGGGTAAGAGACACAAACTCTTTAAATCAACAAACTGGTGCAAACAACAGGTTAGCATCTTGAGTGATTAAATACTTTTTTTAACATTCAAAAGGACTTTGGAGATATATATATATGTATATATATATATATATATATATATATATATATATATACACACACACATATATACACACACACACACACTTATAATCTAACGTTAAATCACAGCACAAACTTACATAACAATATGATGGAGGCGTTATTTTTGTGAGTCACATGGTAGGATAGTCAAGATATTCCTACATTTCTTGGATTATGCAACACCAAGCTGATACCACAAGAGAAATGTCATATCCTCATTTGAGATTTTAAAAAAAAATGCATAAAGCATACTGTTTCAGTGCAACATGTAGTAACCTGGTAAAGAGTATATATTTAAGATGAGTCTTAGAATATAGGCTAGATTTATTTATAAATTAGGCTGTTGCACCCAAAGAACAAGCCACGCTTACCTTCAACGTTGTATCCACATTGAGATGTGTCCGCTACTGATATGACATTTTTTTATTTTTCCAATCGATTAATCAGGAAACCTTTCAAACAGTCTTTCAGCCAAAAGAGCCCGAAAGCCACAAGAAGCTCAACCCGTTGTCTCTTAACAAAATGTTTCAGATCATTAGGAAGCCACTTACGCAAAGTTCTGCCTCAGGGCTCATTCATAAGAGAGCTCATGCTCTGCTTGGTCCACTTGTTTCCCCGGAAAGCACCGACTGAGCCGAGGGACGCTGTAAAAGGACGCCTACCTGTTTGTTCCACCTTCCCATTGGCGCTCAATCGTTGGTTTCACAGTCAGGAAAAGCCCGGAGGAGGAGCCTCACTCCGGGGGGACAGAGGGAGACAAATAAACTGCGTCCACATTTTCATTACCATATCTGGACGGATTTGAAGTCATATATGTATTTTTACATTTGATTCATTAATTGTGTCCACTACTGTGCGTAAAAGTCATGTACGGCTTTGGGGCTACTCTTAAAGCCCTCGAGTCAGTGAGCGAGCGAGTGAGTGAAATGGGGTTTCCCAGAACAGGTGTATCCGATGATCTCTTACAGAGTTGAGTGTTCCTCGCTGATGCCCAAAGTGGCACACCTTTAATCCTGTGCAGAGCAGATAAATATAGGTGTCCAGGTCGGCACTTAATGTACTGAGACAAAGTTAACTGGGCTTTGTCATGCTCCGTCTATGACGCAATTTTAATTTGTTAAAATATTGTCATTTTTTTTATTATTAAATCAAAATACAATAAACTTAATCCGGCTCCATTGATCTTGTTTTATGTAATTTTTCAAAGTAAAAGTCAATTAGCTATTGATGTTTGGAGAGGGGGTGGTGTCGAAATATTTCCTTATGTGTTCCACAACATTAAACAAAGAAAATAAGGTCAGTCAGAGGAGAGAGGCTCGTTCCAGGTAACAAATGCGACGCTTATTCATTTCTCTTTTTCTCACGTGTGTGTATTTGTGTGTTACATGCCACATCAAAAATAATAAGCAAAACCCAATTCTGATATGTTTGTATATCAAACTGATCTCAGGTATAATGGTTGTTTATTGGAGGATATTATTTTACTGTTAATATTAATGGCGTTAACCTACAAGAACCTACACCTGTCATTAGGTTAAATGAGTAGTTATATTATATATGTTATACATGTGTATATACGTATATATATACTGTATAGTGTTGTATAGTGTTTGACCGCTGGGTGTCGCTGTTACTCACCTTACTGTTGAGGTCAACATTGTTGTTTTCAGCAATGTTTTCTGAGCTGATCTGTTCATTTCTTCAGGACTAGTTTATCCCCTTGGACAGATTCAGCTACTTATCAATATATGAATACAACACAAAAACATTTGCAAGTATTGTATTGATGATTAATCGTTTTACTCGTTATCATAGTCTGATCCTTGTTCTCAATATTACAATGATAGGATTCACACAGATCATGAAAAACAGAGAAACATTTACTTCTTCGTGATCTTTCGGTCAGCAGCAGTGTCTCCATCTCCACAAGCTCGTCTGGACTAGAGATGTTCTGCATACATATTGTCATTATTTCAGTTCCTGACTAAAAACACATCCATAACTGTCATGTTTGACTTTGCAACACTGACAACAGGTCAGCCTGATTGGCAGCATTATGTGAAACATTTAGAACTAGTTTGCTATTGACACAGTGGTAATGTTGTGTACTTTTTGGGAAGATAAACGTTCTTTAATGAGAATAGACAAAGCATACAAAGTTTAAATATTATTATAATTAACCTCAATTTGCCTACTTGGCAATCTTTGTGACTTGTGAAAAAAAAGAAATAACAAACTATTAAATCTCAAAGCATGCGTGTCCTGAGACGTTGGTGTCTCAGTAATTAGCATGTTGATGGGTGAGTTTCTACTGTTAGTGATCCTGTTTCGAGAAAAGTGTGGCTATTAAAGAAAACCTCGCCCCCTTTGAATCAGTATTCACATTCATTTGCTGGAATGAGAAACCTGAACTTTACAATATGAACCCAACTGACCCCGTTCCTGGGTTGTATGACAGGCTGAATACAATATAAGGAGTAAGTATGAGTTGTAATTGTTTTACACGTTTTTGGTCAGCTAGGTTGTTAACAGTGCCGTTAATGAAATGCAGCTTGGTTGCAAACCATACTGCTGTATTACGAAACACCATACTCGTCACATCGAGGCTTCCCCACATGGAATCTATCTACCTATTCCAAGAATGTCAGCATCACTGAGAAGGGAATTTGTTCGGCAATCTTTGCTGCTATTTCATAAACTACCACATTGAATGTTACATTTTTTCCACAATTGGCTAATGGACGACCCGGTATGTCTGAAGAAGGCTGTCTATTCTCTGGTTATGCCGTTGGGCAGAGAACTGTGTGCCAATCTTAGGTTGTTTTGTTGTTTGTTTATTTCTATGTGATAAACTCTATTGGGCTAAACACTGACTTAGGTCAATGTGAAACGGTCACAAGACCAAGAAGAACAGAGTGTGGGTTGTAGTTTGTACTAATATGGCAGCTACAAAAAACAGCTGACCACGCGGTTAGAGACAATGACACCAAGTCTCACATTCAGTCTGGGTGAAAAACATGTCAGCGCGCTGAACATTGACACATTTCAGTCGTGCTTTGTTTCTTCGACAGTACATATTTTTATGGTATGCAGCTGGTATGTTTGGAAATTCTTCAGTCCAGCTGCCCCTCCCCCCCCCCCACACACACACCCACCCACACCCACCCACAAACACACACACACACCCACACGCACACACTGTTGAATATGTTAACGCACTTTGTTTCTCTCCATGCATGAGACTAGTGAGACTGAGAGCCACACACTCGAGTGACCAGTTAGTACAGCCACTGCTCAAGGTCTAGTCCTTCTCCACCACCAAGAGTGATGTAATGTCAGTATACAAAAGTCTAAACTGCATGCCATACAAGCACCACATGCAATCATTGTCGTTTTCTTTTTCCCCGGAATTCCCTTTATGACAAAACCGTCCAACACCTTAATTTGTTTTAAATCTAAATAATGAACTCAGCATGTTAAAAACCACATCAGCACGTCATGTTTGTATTTAAGATGTTGTGCATTAACCATATGTTAAATAAGTTTTCATGCCAGCACTTCATTGAGGTGCCCCCACATGCTAACCTGACAAACATCATGTAAACAGACGATTCCCCCCACCTTCCTTGCTCTTTCCCAACCAGCCAACTGTTCAGTCTGAGAGACATTTCATAACCTCTATCCGGGCCTCACGCCCATCATCCCCGTTGATCGAGAAACAGGTAAAACCAGAGGCACAGGAGAGCCCGTCATAGGCAGCAAGGGTTGGACGAGAACCCAGCCTCTGAGCGGCAACATGGGAAGGGATGGGCAACTCAAAAAGTGACGTTATGTTCATGAATGTATGACCGCTGATTTCACCTTTAGCCCAAATCCTGTTTGATGGACATTTGTGAAGTGGCATGATCGATCCTTTTTTGATTGGACCCAAAGGTGCATTTAAACTTTTCAGACATAATAAAATTGCTAACCGGTAAAGTTAGTTTTTTCTTCATTCTCATGTACTTATTAAGTGGTTTTCCTTGCCCAAAAACGGGACCATTCCCCCCTGGGTCTTGGTTTCTTAAACATAGGCCTGTCACTCCATGACCCCATCCCCTTCCTTCACCACACCACCACTATTGATGAGACAGTCCAATCACAAACAGGCTCTGTGAGGATAGGAAGGTGGAGCTAAGCATTGAAACAGGGTGTGGTCCTGAAACCAGCAAGGTCTGTAGTAGTGCCCCGGGGTTTAAATTGACTTGAATGATTCCGCTCCCATAGTTAACATAGCTGGCCTCTCAACTTTTACTTATCTCTCTCTCTTGCTTCCTTTCCACATCTCTTACCTGTGAAACTTTCAGCTCTTTTTGGATTGCTTGTAAAAAAAAAAAAAAAGAAATCAGAAACATTTGAGGAAGGCTTGAGGCCGCCACCCACGGAGAAGCTCTGCATGTATGTGGTTCACCTCTCACTGATTGATCTGTTTCTCTGGATTGAGTGCTGCCTGCCCTGGCTGTGCAGCTGCTTCCCTCTCACACAGGAGTGAGTGCTGAGGACTTGTGTTCTGCCGGTGAGTCACTTGTTACTTACACATCAGTATTTTAGCAGTTTAAGTGATCTGAGATTTGTAGCCGTGCTGCACCTGTAAAGTTCATTGTGTTCTTTTCAATGTAAGGAAGTGTCTATTTTAACTCGCCACGGTGTCTTTTGCCAGACAAACCCTCTGCTTTACAGCTCAATAATGTTTATCTGGATTAGGACATCAAAACATGACTTCTTTTTAGTAAAGTATGCTCTGTAGTGTAGGAAAACACCCTGGAAATCTGTGATCAGCTCATATCTTGGTGGCTGAGGTTGGCTACGCTGTAAGGGCCAAGTTCTTTGCCTCACCTGTTTGACTTGCTCTGTTAGTCAGCAATGGAGTATGTCGTTGTTTCTAGACTGACAGCAGATATCGAATGTTTCACAATCCTTCATGAAATATTCATAGATTTCTTTTTTTAAGTACAGAGTCATTGTTTTCTGTTTCATTCACTAAATAAAATGAAGCTTTTCATTTTTAAAGAAAGTACATTTAGTGCTAAAACGGTGAGGATTTGTTGCTCCCATGCTTCACTTTGGATCAGGCAGTGAGAGGAGCTCCTGCTACAGATTTTAGTTTTTTTTTAAAGTTTGTACATGAGGGCACTCAGAGGTGTGTGTGTGTGATGAGCCTGTGCAGCTGTCTCCTGTTTGTTCAGTCTGCAGATGGGACGGGTTGCTTTGTCGCTCACCTGCCCAACCAACCTCTCTTTCATCGCGGCTTAATCTCCTTTTTTGTCATTTCTTATTTTTTTCCCCAGTGGTTTAATAAGTAAAAGGAAAAAGGAGTCACCATGCTGCGAGAAGCTGTATCAAACATTTTAAAATTCCAAACATTTTTGGAATCGAGAATTGGTAAGTGTCTTTGTCTCTGATACAGATTTACACCTCTGCTTTGTGAAAATATGAGTGAATACCTTGTGATCTAAAGGCGTAATAATAACATGCTGTGTAGAAGGTTTGAAAAGGGCCTTTATTCTTGTCTTTCTTTAACCTATCTCATGAATCTGCCACAAACTGTGTATAAAGTGCATTTACTGTTGACCCAGACATCTTTTTGTGCCGATATAATAAGAAATGTTTGCTTTCATTGTCCTAAGATGTCCGAATCATAAACTACCCACTGATGGATGGTCCCGTAAAGATGGCCGCCATCCTGATAGCCTATGTCATCTTCTCAAAGTACATTGGACCTCGCCTGATGGCAAACCGTAAACCATTCCATCTCAACTCAGCCATGATAGTCTACAACCTCAGCATGGTTTTACTTAACGCATTCGTGGTGTACGAGGTAAAGAAAATCATTGACAAATAAGGCTATTCGCTGACTAAAATCCCAATTTCTTCATGTGCCAGAGTGCTTGTAACAGCTGCTGATGTGTGTTTGACATCTACAGTTCCTGATGGCTGGATGGGGCACCACTTACACGTGGAGATGTGACCTTTGTGAATTAGGAACCAGCCCAGAGACTTTACGGGTAAGCCAGTAAATTGTTAGACATTTTCCTGGGAGCAGAGGAGCACTCACTGGAGTGTCCTAAAAAGACGACGTAGGCCGACTTTGAGGTTAGGACTGACATTACAGCACTTTTCTTCTTTTCACTCCCGCAGATGGTTCGAGTGAGCTGGTTGTTTTATATTTCAAAATATGTCGAACTTCTTGACACAGTAAGGACATTTCTTTTTCCCCCCACTTTAATTGTCTGACCTTTTTTACGACATGTATATTTTGTGCACGCTAACTTGAGCTTGTTCTACTTTTACTCGAGGTGTTCTTTGTGCTGAGGAAGAAGCAAAGCCAGATCACATTTCTCCACGTGTTCCATCACTCCTTCATGCCCTTTACGTGGTGGTGGGGTGTCACCCTGACTCCTGGTGAGGTTTACTCGGCATAGCATCAATGCAAAACGACACAAAACACATGGCTGAACATCTCCTCAAATTACATATTGACATTACTTTGCATCCAGTACAAGGCCAAAACAATAAACTGGGGTGATGACTGAACATTTGCATACAAATGTCTAATGGCATGCATCATTTTTTTCCCCCTTTTAAGCTGGAGGAATGGGCACCCTCCATGCCTTGGTGAATGCAGCCGTCCATGTCATCATGTACTTCTATTACCTACTCTCTGCTGCTGGACCTCGCTTCCAGAAATACCTGTGGTGGAAGAAGTACATGACCGCCATTCAGCTTGTAGGTCCCTTTCTTTTCTTTTTTTTAAAAACGTGTGTGTTTATTATGACATGACTGGGATATATGATTTTCCAATGGATCTGGGTCAGAATGAGATTTGAAATAACAATCTGTCTTTTCCCTAATGTTTCACAGATACAGTTTGTTGTGGTCTCCATCCACATCAGCCAATACTACTTCATGGAAACGTGTGACTACCAGGTTCCCATGTGGATCCACCTGATTTGGATGTATGGCGTCTTCTTCTTCTTCCTCTTCTCCAACTTTTGGATCCAGGCCTACATTAAGGGAAAGCGGCTTCCCGTCGTGGAGGACAAGCCCAAGCAGAACGGCTCGACCAGTGAAGCTGTCTCTGTGGTGGCCAATGGGAAACACCTGGAGAATGGGAATGCGCACCACCATACCAACGGCAAAACCTTCCTGGGCAAAGTAAAGGAAATCTGACTTGGGGACTCTGGAGAGGCTCTATAGAGCTACCTTGGAAATGTCATTCGTATCTAGTAGCTTATTGAAACGGCACAGATTTAGATAGGTCACTTCTAAACTGCATAATTTCTTTATAAATCTACTTTTCTTATGCACACTTGTTGGGATGTGTTTTGGTGGTGATCTCCGCTTGCCACAATGTTTGTTAGTCGTTGTGAAAACTATTAACTGTGATGAACACTGTATGGAAATTGGTGCTCATTTTGTCACTCATAGTATTCCTCAACTCAGGCTTGACCCACACAAGCCTGATCCACACTACCGTTTGGCTGGCATGACCATTGTTGCACAGTTTCCACTGAAGACCGGCACATATAAGCAACTTCTACAGACTTTTTGTCAAAACAAAGCTTTGATTGTAAATGTCATATATTAAGTTTTGTTCTGTTTTTATTTATCTTTTGAAATAAAACACTTTTTTAGATAAAAGTCTGTCATTTGGAAAGTAGTTATGATGTGCACTTTGTAAGAAACATCCCACACCTCAACTTTAATAATTGAGGAAAATAAATGTTATACTGTATATTACAGTATTGATTTTTTTGCTAAATTAGGTAGTGACATATCCATTTTCATATTAATCATGAGTTCTGCAACACTGTATGGTCTATTCTCAGCGCACTGTGCGTAAAGTTAATAGAAAGTACTTTCTTTTGAATTCGAATTTAATCAAACGTGTGCCGTTTCTGAATATCACTGCAGAATGTATATATTGATTGACCTACCAGTGTTTTTACTGCTGTTCATTACACATGTGCACTGATGACTGTTGAAGGGTGATCTAGTTTTGAAAGACTGATTTTAAAAACTTTGTATCTGATATTTGCCACAATGACATAGGAGTGGATGTGTATCCAGGAGCTGTTTATATATTACAATCAACCCTCAGTAGATTAACCTGTTTCTGACTTACGCAGAAATAAAATCTCTAAATATTTTGTAATCTTTTGTTTTTCAAATGTTTCACCAAAGAGGTGAATAGTCATATTTATATTTTATTATTCTTTAAACCAATATCAAATTAAATCTTGGGCACAAAGAATATGATTAAAAATCCATGGATAACTAACCTCAAGGATGTGTGTGTGTGTATATACTGTCTATATATATATATGTATGTATATATATATATATACAGTCAGGACCATAAGTATTTGGACTGTGACACAGTTTTTCTAATTTTGCCTCTTTACACAACTCCAATGGATTTGAAAGGAAGCAGTAAATATGTGGTTGAAGTGTAGACTTTCAGTTTTAATTCAATGGATAAAACAAAAATATTACATCAACCATTATGGAATTATGGTCATTTTTACACAGCCCCCCACATTTTCAGAGGCTCAAAAGTAATTGGACAATTGTCTGACAAACGGTTTCATGGCCAGGTGTGGCCTGTTTTGTCACTATTTCATGAAAAATGATGCAGATAATAGGATTCAAAATGTTAAATTAGCATTTGCTGGTCCATGGAACTCTCAGCATGTGGACCAAAAAGGTGTCAATGCAAGTGAAGGAGGCCATTATCAGGTAAAAAGTAAAAAACGTAACAAACCTATCAGTCAGATAGCAGAAACATTAGGATTGACCAAATCAACAATTTAGTACATTCTTAAAAAAAAGGAATTCACTGGCAAGCTCACCGACACCAAAAGGCCCAGAAGACAACGGAAGACATCTAAAGTGGATGATCGCAGATTTCTTTCCTTGGTGAAGAAAAACTCCTTCATAACATCTACTGAAGTCAAGAACACTCTCGAGGAGGTAGGCGTGTCATTGTTAAAGTCTACAATCAACAGACGCCTTCATGAATCTAAATACAGAGGGTTTACAACAAGGTGCAAACCACTGGTTACACTGAAGAACAGGAAGGCCCGATTAGACTTTGCCAGAAAACATCTGAAAAAGACCGACCAGTTTCTGAAAAAGATTCTTTGGACAGATGAAACCAAGATTAACTTGTAACAGAATGATGGGAAAAGAAAAGTGTGGAGAAGGAAAGGAACAGCTCATGATCTGAAACAAACTACATCTGTCTAACATGATGGAGGCAGTGCTATGGATGGGCATGAATGGCTGCCAATGGAACTGGGTCACTGGTGTTTATTGGTGATGTCACAGCTGATAGAAGCAGCAGGATGAGTTCCGAGGTGTTTAGGGCTAAACTATCTGCTCAGATTCAGCCCAATACTACTAAACTGATTGGATGGCACCTCACAGTGCAGATGGATTATGACCCAAAAGATAATGTGAACAGAACCCAAGAGCTTCTCAAGTCAAAGAAATGGAATATTGTTCAATTGGCGAAGTGAGTCACCTGATCTAAACCCAAGTGAGCAGGCTTTTCACTTTCTGAAGATAATACTGAAGGCAGAAAGACCCACAAACAGGCAGCAGCTGAAGGAGGCCTGGCAAAGCATCAGAAAACTCAGTTTTTGGTGATGTCTACGGGTGCCAGACTTCAGGCAATCATGACTGCAAAGGATTTTCCTCCAAGTATTAAAAATTATATTCACAATTATGCTAGTTTGTCCAATTACTTTTGAGCCTCCGAAAATGTGGGGGACTGTGTAAAAATGGCAGCAATTCCTAAACGGTTAATGTGATATATTTGTTTTATCCATTGAATTAAAGCCGATTAGTTTAGTTAATACCTAATCAGTTAGAATACATCTGCAGGTTCAAGTAAAATCTCAGACAGCGACATCTAAAGAAAACACTACCACCAGATTCAGACAAAACTTTTAAATTGCAGAAACGGCAATAAAGGTTTAAGTCATACGTGACATTGACCCAGACCGCCAATGAGGTTAACCTAAAACCAGCAACAGCCCTATTAGATTTGAGGATAAAAACAATTTCTTTATTCTTTTGTTAGTTTGGCAGGTGATAGAGATTTATGTAAATACTCAGAATTGATGTTCTTAAAAATGCCCTACAGTTTGCAACAAGGCAGTATATAACACATGCCAATTAACTGACAGAAACACATCAGGTAATCAAACCATTTATTTATAACCCAGTCTACTGTATACAATGCATTCTGATAACATCAAAGCTAAGTGAAGGCCATAAATACATTGCTTAAAAAAACCAACACTTGTACTTTACTACATTAGCAGACCTGTATAAAACAATCAAGACCAAAAACCCATTACAGCGCCAATAGGAGCAGCAAGTTTCCAGTCACAGCTAAAATACTGGGTAGATATCTTTATTGTAGATTAAATAAAACATTCGCACATAAGCAGAGACCAAAAAAGCCTTCAAAAATCAAGACAAGGCAAATTATCTGATTGACTGATGAATGACCCCGCTAGTTGATTTGACCAGCCTCTCTTTGGCCTTCTTAGCAGGATCCATCTCAAAGCTCTTCCACAGACGGATAGTCTCGTCCCCAGCAACGGTCGCGACAGTAGAGCAGTCGGGGCTCAGGAGCAAACTGAGAACTCTGTCCTCGTGGCCTAGAAGAACACACGCATTGAAAGGGTTAGACCAGCAGAAAGCATCAAGTGCAGCAGCTTCCAGTTCACTGGATGTTTCTTTTAAAAAGTTAAGCGTGAACAAGTACAGAGCCGATCCAGTCCAGAAAAAACAACTTACCATTAAGCTCTGCAACCCTGGTGAGAGCGGGGTACTTCCAGATAACTACATTGTTGTGGGCATATCCATGGGCAGAGACCAACTCCTTGTAGTTGGGTGCAAACACCAGGGACGAGATCTGAAAAGAAAGTGTGTGATTTGAGAAAAGACCCATGTTGCTAATTCTCAAAATGTCAGTACTCTTCTTTCCCCCCCCCACCACTTTGAATAACCATTTGAAACCAAGGGTCCATCAGTGTGGAGGTACCTGGGACTGAGTGTCAAGTGAACTGATGCAGGAGCCACTGTTTACATTCCAGATGCGGATGTGACGGTCACTGGTGCCACCTCCAGATGCGAGGATGTTTGGCTGCCACGGACACCAGGCCAAAGCCTAGAGTGATAAGCACATCCAAAGGTAAGTTGCAAGCTTTACACAAGTCTAGGGTAGAAAAATGAATGACAAACTGTATTAAACGCTTTATCCTGACAGTTTAAAAACGTAAAAAAAAAAAAAAAAAAAAAGTAGTGTTAAACAATCAGGAAAAATCTTGTCTTGCATGTTTGGCAAATTGCTCAAACAAAGTCCGTCTGCTGGTGCAGGTATGAAGCCACTCGCCTTAACAGCTCCTTGATGTTCACTCCAGGAGCGGACCGACTGGCTGGCGGTGCCCTCCTGCACACGGGGCCATACATACACCATGTTGTCATTGCCTCCACTGGCTAGGTATCGCCCATCAGGGGACCACTTCAGCCCACACACCTCCTGTGAGTGACCAGTGAGTGTGAAGATGTGGTGGTCTGCCACCCTCACATCATGATGGTGAATGTGTCCTGATCTCGAACCGCTAGGGAGGGGGAGAAACATTATATTTGAGTCCAAAAAACACTCGCACCAATGGAAATGCAGGTTTTGGTCTGTTCTATCAGAAAAGAAGAAACTACTGTACCTGGAGAGAACATGGTCATTCCAGCTCAGGCTAACAACTCTAGATGTATGGCTGGTCATGCTGCGTAGATGCTTCTGGTTGTAAACGTCCCACAACTAAGAATACAAAAAAAAAAAAAAAAAAAAAAAAAACCCCAACAACTTTCCATTAAAAACTTGATAGGAAGCAGTTCTTTGATTGCCATGTGTCCTTGGGTACGTCCCAAATCTTTCTGCATCCCCATTTCCCTCACTTGCATCTTTTCCTTGCATCTTAGTCCCTCCCACCAGGGATGGATGGAGAGACGCAAGGAAATACGTTTGAAGCGAATTGAGACGTGCTTTCCTCTGAAGCGCCAAGTGAAGAGACGTCCTTTTCTGATGATTGTGGCCACTGATCACAGCTGGATCAGCAGTCAGTCGGCTTTAACAGCTGGAGAGACTTTTGACAGAGTTTGTGTCTGCTCACATGATCATTGTACTTAATAGTAACTAATAATAACAGTCATCACTGCCAGAGTAGAGGTGTTTTCTCTCTGTAGCCGGTTACCTCTCTAACAAACTGCATTAGTATTTATACTGTGTTCCGTTTCTGAATGATCCGCCTCACGTGACTGGATGGAATGATGATAAATGATGTAAAATGTGTTTTGTCTCCGACTTAAATTATATCCATAATAAAAATTACAAATCTTTCTTATAAATGATGAAAGTTGTTTGTGGTCCTTTAGTTGTTCAGTCTACAATGAACACATTTAAACCAGATGGTGAATCAGAAAACTAATGAAATATAAAAACAGAGTTTAATTTCTGATCTGTCTGGTACGAAACTTAAGTGATTTTTAGAAAAATCTGATCAGTCCGATCAGCTACAGCATCCAATCACATAACTTATGAACAATAAGGGGGCGTGTCAGCCGTTAAAACGCTTCCTGGAAGGCTGTTCTCCTGCATCCTCGCTCATGGTGCCTCAGAGTTCCCTCCTAGCTCCTCAGAGCAGAAATAAGAGCTTTCGCACGGTTCAAGGGAGGAAATGACAAAAGACTTTGGATGTACCCTTTGTGAACTAAAGTAGTATGTCCAACAGCAAACACTGACCTGAATTTTGCAGTCGCTGGTGCCGATAGCTAGGTAGGCTCCCTCTTTGGTCCAGGACAGTGAGCAGATGTAGTCCTCCTCGTGCTCCAACTTCATGAGAAGAGTGACATCTCCTTGGGTGGCATCCAACAGGTAAACACTGTTATGAAGAGCAACAGCGAGAACATTTCGACTGCTCCAGTCAAGCAGATTTAAATCTGGGAGAAAAAAGGGGGGGGGGCAAATGAATGCTTGTCTTTTTACATAAAGCTCAAATATTTATGTACAAAATCTTTATATTTAGTTTAAAGACTAATGTAGTGATCGATGTCCACCCTCAGTGGATCGCGGTGAATCTAAAATGTGAAAGGTTACGCATACATTGCCGTCGTCACAGAATTAAATACCAACATGCACGAATGGTTTTTAGGAAAACCTCCCAAGATTCAAACTTACAGAAATCATTTCGAAGCTCAGGAGCATCCAAGATTCTGTCAGGAGTCGAAGATATGTATCTCGTCTTTTTGACAGAGGCAGGAGTGGCGCCCTGACTGTAGAGCACTTTCAAGTTGTTTTGATAACCTGTAAATAAAATAAAAAAATAAAAAATTTTTTTTTACTTTCTGTATTTTATTCTTGTCAAGTAACATGTTGACACACAAACATCCTTACCTTCTGGAGCATTCAGTGGTTTCCCTCCAAGGTGCAGGATCTTTGCGTCTTCAATGTTGTATCCATTTAAGGACATGGACCAGGCCTTCTGGTTTTCCTTTAAAGACATAAACCCTAGATCAATAAAAGCATTCATCAAGTAAAGGCTGATAAGGAAATGGATTCAAAATGATAACTTACCGACGTTAACGTTGTATTGTTTGCGTCCACAGGCTCGTTCTCCTTAGTGAGCAGGAAACTTGCCACATCCATTTGTTTGCCGTTTCTGGTGGGAATGAAGCGGTCGCCCCCCATCTTAGAGGGTGTTACTTTTTTGTTTTTGCCTATGACACAAAAAATAAATAAATACTCTGTGGGTTAACATTTGCAGAAATGAAACTAACAATACAGAGCTTTGTTAAGTCTTACGTTGCATGAATATAGCTGCACACATTACCTGGTGTTTTGCTCGGCGTTTTTGATGAGCTGAGGGACACATTGGCAGATTTGCCAGGCGACAACCCGTTCGGGGCCGATGCGTTTGATGAGCCGGCCTTCCTCTGCCACCTCGCCATGGGACCGTTTGTGATGGGCATGTCCAGCTTCAAGATACTGTGGATGTCGTTCTCAAACCCAAACTGCGCCATTTTATCCAGGTTTTCACACTACCTGTAATACATCAGGGCAAATAAATACAAAATAAGCGCTCATCTGATGTGCAACACTAAGTTAACCGGCTATTGAGCTAGTTCTAGGTCCGTTTGCTATATAGGCGAGGCATGCAATGCTAATGCTAGGAGCTCAGAAGTAACGTTAACCTTAGCACTAACGTTACTTCAGCGGCTGGTAGGAGAAAACGCCATTTCATTTGAACGAGAATTAAGACAAAGCAGCCGTTTAACATCCGCTAAACATGTTTGCATTAGCTGACAGTCAGGTACAACGACTGCGGTTAAACATGGCTCACTAGCTAAACAAAAGTAAACGAACACAGGTTAGCATTAACTTCAATGACATGACGCGCTTTAAGAGTTAATTTAACGTCCACAGTGGAACTTTTACAACCTCAGAATAAACACACTAATCTCACCTCTTCAAGAAAACGTGGAACACTCTAGAGCAACACTGGCCTTTCTCTGGCGTCTCGTTCTCAATTTTGAATTTCGTGACGATGACGCCACACGGTTTAAATCCCAGAAAGCGCTGCTGCTATTGGTTCGTTCAAGGAGCTGCCGTTATCGCCAGGCATTGTTATAGTAACATTTACAAATGCGTTTCTGTGATTGGTGGAGGAAACGTCCTGACAGGAAACGGCCTCCTCAGCCACAAAAATATCGCGCCATCTGTCGGCAGGAACATGATATTGGGTTTGTGTGATATGAAAACAATAAAAACAGAGAAACTCTATTTAAATGTAGATTTTCTGACGAACGACCGAGTGAAGGTTGCTTCACTTTAAATGTCAGCTATCAAATGTCTGTTATTTAATTATTTGCAGGTTGAGAATTGTATTTGAAGGAAAATGACACCAATGTTTGAATCACAAAGGGTGCTGTAATACATATATGTCACTGAGATTACAGCAGGACACCTACAATTGAGCCTGGATTATTCTTATATTTCACAGTATGATTAAAAGAAGTATCCAAAAGATCCAATTAACCTTTCAAATGGAGTTGAATGCCAAACGTATTATTAATATTAACCAATCAAGTATTAATATTCTATTCTATTATAGTAGAAGACTGATTTATACCGGAATATCTTTAAATGCATATCTGCAATATAACATTGGTTGGTGGTGCATACTGTAGCCTATATTAAGCACTGTAAGAAATATTTAAAAAGAGCCATAATGAACATCCCTTATTAGTGTAAAAAAAACACAATCTTCTGTTTCATATTATATTAGTAGAAGTACTGTAACCTACATGTATATTCACCATATTCAACCATCTAAATAAAAATCGATTTTTATATGTCAAGCATGAGGGATAATTGAATATAGTTAAAACTATGTTCATGTCTTAGTAATGCTAAAATCAGAGACGTTATCAACACAAATCAAGCATTTGTTTCTCTGCTCTTTGGTTTGAAGCTAAGTGTATGCCTATTAATGAGATTAAATTATTGATCTATTAGTTGTTAATTCTACCTCATGCATAATGGATGGTGTGCTTGAAAGGCAAAGTATCAAAACTCCAGAAGATACAACTACAGTTATGTTTCTTTTATTTGAATCAATACACTCAGAATACTTTACTAATACATAGAGAATAATACACAGACTTGAAGATGCATACAATAACATATTAACAGACTACTGTGTGAATAAAGAACCACTTTTCAGCAACAAGGAAGCAGAAATTGCTGAAAATAAAATAAATCAGATTGACAGCATTTATTCTCAGTGGTCTCCCACGAAACTTCTGTCAACATGTTAAATCTGGTTTGTTGAAATGAATCGCTCTTAATGAGCACTACATTCTTATAGAGACCAATTTTGACATCAAAAGAAACATTCTGCCTCTGATTTAACCATGTCTGGTCCTTAATGTATTGTCTGGAAGGACTATATATGCTAGAAAAGCATGACAACAATAAGAGGCAGCCTACATACAGCTCTTTTTGACTGTTACAAAAAAGGTTGCGTGTATACTTTGAACACTAATTATGGAAATGAATACCAAATGTTAAACACTCATTAAACCATTACACAAACTTGTTAGTCATGTTTGAAACTCTGATCATTGATGAGACGTAAAGTAAATATCCTACTCTTTTCCTGTTGCTATAAGTCATAACAGGCCACTTGCACATATCCATATCTGGTCCAATGCTTATGTTGTCGTGACATTATATACATTTTATAATAACTTACGCTCATACAACAGTTTGTGTTAATAGCTTCTGGATATTTGAATAGTGTATCATGCAGGCATATGTTTGTTGATGGCTGCGTAATGCAAAAAAAAGAAAGTTGGAGAATGGTCAAACGGCCACTACACCATCTCCTAAGTCTTCTATAAGGCAGAAAAAAGCGTTGCACAGTTTGTATAAAGGCTTCATTTTAAATATTACTTTTAATTAGATGTGTGAGAGGCGATGCCCAAACCATCCCTAAATCGGCTAAAAATAAAAGGGGGAAATAGTTCATTCTGGATTAAATCAGCATTAAGGTGACCTGACAGAGAGTCTATAGAGACGATATACATTATCCTACCATAAAAGTATCTTTAATCATATATTTTATTAAAATTTCACATGAGCAAATAATAGGTTAAATCATCTAGACAGTATCACAAAGAAATATGAGAGCCATAAGGATGGCATCTCAAACCAAAAGCAGCACGGTCCAACTCTTTGGATAACTGGACACACTTGGAGGAGTCCATTCAGTGTTTGGCAGAGTTCAGTGCGATTGGTTTATCAGTGGCACAACAAAACACTTGAGTTCAGCAGGGCTTTATCTACAGACTGTAAGACAATTTGTGACATTCTCTGTCTTAACGTGCATTAGATACGGTACACACCTGAAATTGAACATTTTCATTGTATATTTTATCACATATGTTGTTTCATTGAAAAGCTTAGTCCAGACAATATTATCCGTCTGCCCTTAAAGTTATTAGTTGTGCAAGAAGAAGCTTGTTTGTACATTGCTGCAGACAGTGAACATGTTTACATGTTGTCTTGGTGCGTATTAAATAATTAAGTTAAACAGTATATGCAATATGTGATAGAGGCATTAAAGTGCATTAAATAATGCAGTCTGGAATCCAGACCACACGCGTCACAAACGGTGGCTGTTGGTGCTGTAGCAAAAGCTTGGTTGCATTGATTGGGCAACACTGCCCATAGTGCTAAATCAGTAAGTGGAAATTCAACAGGAGAAATGGAGTAGAAAGCTCAAACGTGACCCTGTTCAACAGCTCTCAGCTAAGGTGCTGTAACCGCCGCCTTTTATGTCTGCAGCCGTTTCAGTCATGTCTTTAGGGTAATGTATAATTGAGCCGATAACACCTGCAAGGAAATCAAACGGCACAGATTAGGCTGAAATTCGGAAAAAATTAAAGAATAAAAAGCTGCAGTAACATATTGAGCTGTGCATGCTCACTCAACTTTTAATCCCTGTGTCACATGCTGACCTGACAATTGCAGTCATAATAAAAGTGAGTCATACTGAACAGGTATCACGGAAGGAATCAAAATGGATAAATGACACGAACATGCCTATCCACAGGGTTTGTGGTTTTGAGTTCATTTAATATTAAACTCTTATCAATCACTCCCCCCCAATTATGTTAAGTGAGAAGTCTCCAGTGACTAAAGAGAAAACATAGGGATTGTTTGTCTTACCTCCTGGGTGCCTCAAACCTAGGGAGAGTGTGAGAAAGACAAAGCACATGACTATGCTTTATATGTCCCTGTGAGCGTGAGACTCCATAGCAAAAATCATGTGACAGGAGAGAAGTTTCAAAATGTAGCCGAGTATATGAGGGTATTTACGGAGGGAATGAGGTTTTAAATTAAAAGCAGATGTAAAGATTAGATAGCTCCGGCTGTTTGCCGACAATATGCAGCACTCAAGACTGCATTCTGCTACATTTCGCTGTATCATGAAGGCTGCTTCCGAGTGTGTAGCTGTTCTTAAAAGGCTATGCAACTTGTTTTATTATTATCCAAATGGAAAGTGAAACTCATGTATATACACACTGACCCTGCTTTTTGGTGAGGAGGAGGCTGATTGTGACAAATCCTGCAAATGCCACGAGCGTCAAGATTGCCATCAGTAGCCGAGGCAAAGAAAACCCTGGAACTAGAAAAACAAATGCAATTGTAACCCGACTGCATGCCAACAAACTGGCCTCTGTAAATGGAGGGGGACTTTCGCAATCACAGGGACAAACAATCACTTTCACTTTTGTGTAACCCTTTCATCTTGTAGCATAGAAATGGGCCTCGTGCAGGAAGAAATACAGAAACTAATTTCCTCTTATTTTGGTTTGCATCCACGATGTTGATATTTTGTTAGTACCATATATTTCTGGGATTCACCAACGTTTTTGTATTTTTGCTCTATTTTGGTCGAGAGCACTTATTCAAATATAAGAAAAAAAAACATCTTGTTTTCACAGTCCACAAATTGTTTGTCCAACACAAGGAAACGGTTTGAATTAGAGGAACATTTAAAAAAAAAAAAAAAAAAAAAAAAAAAAAAAAAAAAAAAAAAAAAAAGAAAAAATGCATGAATATCATAAAATCAAATTTAGGTTATTTTATGTTTAAGAGTAAATATAATTATTATTAAATTTGTGAGATAAACAAATTCTATTGGTCCAATGATCCCAACTAAGATCAACCCAAAAGCCTTGGATGATATTCTGGCATTCAGCTACTGAATAGCTGACATACTGCTCTTAGATGCTTTGGTCATCCACGCCTTGATTTTCCTGTAAGGTCAGTCTTGACGCTCTGGAAAATCATGTTTACCTAGCTAACAGTACCTCAATTAATTTCTTCTTCCAGCCATTATTTGTGGCATCTCTCCATTTCTTTGACATGTGCCAGAGTATTTGCACGACATCTGCCCTATTAGTGTTTAAGGGGCATCACCTACGCCAATAATGAATCAGGTGTGCCGATTCATTATTCGGCACACCTGGGTACGAGCAGGTTTGGATGGCTAAGAACGTTTGGTGCATCTGGAGTGGAGTCTCTAAACAGAAAGTTAAGAGAAAATGTAAGAGACATTTAAGAGAATGTAGCTCGATGAGGCCCATTGGGTCATATGACTTAGTCATTTGGCGTCAGCTGCCTCCACCACCAGCGGCATTCAGGCTTTTTTTAACACTGATTTCCAACTAGAACTATGAGGTAGGTACAGCTACAGACCCAGAAAAGGCATTATCCAATAATGTGATTGTTTCTATCTATTATCAATTACAGTGTAGTGGCAATAACAGTGAATGAATGAATAATGTAGAATGGGTCCCGCCTTACAATGAAGTTGCACCTGATCATTCATGTCACAGTCAGAGTGCATTTATTGCAAAAATCATTTAGTTTCTATTAATGCTACAACTTCTGCACTTAATGAAAAAGTTTTTCCAAAAGAGAATCAAGTAAGGGCTAAAATCCAAATGCCATTAGGGGGGGGAAATTACTGTATATTATTCTTATTGATACAATTCATTACTTTGCACCACGATGTTTGCTCCAATACACCATTTTAGGTATTGTTAAGTTAAAAAAGGTTAAGTTAAAATCTGGCCCACAGCCCAACACTGCAGTATCAACAATGTGGTTATTTCAAAAAGACATATTTTGTGGGTAACATGCAGTCATTAGGTTTGACACATTTGATGATAGTTACAAAATGCGCTCTCAAAAGCAAGTACGGATACAAACCTGACTGCTCCTCTGAAAGCATCAGCTCTCTCATCAGCTTGATGCACCGCTCCTGAAGGTGGGTCCCCTCCGTCTTTGTGCGCTGCTCTTCCTGGTCCCACATCGCTTTGAAAGCCAGCGCTTCTGGTACGTGGGCCGTCCACGTGTCGGTGTTGTCCAGATTCAGATAGACCTTCCCATCATAGAACACCCGGTCGGCCCAGTGCAGCTGAGACCCCTCCAGTATGCATTCACGAGAACGAAGGACAGTGTGGTTTCCTAGGGAGGAAGAAAAAGGCTGTTAACATGCACAACATTGGACTGACCGGGACATCAGATCTGAGGTGAGCTTTTGATTATGTCCATTTCTACAGTCGTTATATTTATTACTAGTTCATGATGATTTTCTTACTCATGACTGAAGTCTGGTTGAAAGCGATAAGAGTTGGAAGGAGTGCATCAGCCGACATCATTTGGATGATGCTGTCAACTTCCTGGCTTTTGCCAGTAAGAGAGAACCCATTGAGAAGGACCTGCTCCACAACCTGCTGAGCACCCACCACTCCCCGCTGCTGGACCTGCACTATGATGGTATCTAATGGAAGGGCAACCAACATGCATACATTTAACAGCAAAACAGTAAAAAAAAAAAAAAAAAAAAAAAAAAAAAAGAAGGTGGACTCCAAATGTTACAGTAGGCTTTAAGTCCCCGTGGGAATGTTTTCATGTAATGAAACCGGAGATGCAAAATAGGCTAAAATGGAACTTGTGCAGAAAATACTCAAATGTCAGAAATGAGTCCTTTATGGACATTTTACTTTGCAAAATATAAATAGATTATAACTGTGAAAAAAACATGAATGTTCCTTTAAATTATGAATGCTTTCACAGAAATTAATTTCAGTATTGTAACGTTTTAAGTGGCACCAGGTCCATTACTCTGCAATGTATAGTCAATGCATTTGCAGTGGAAGTAGTGCACACTGCGTCACCAGCTTTATTGTGTACACCTTTTCTTTTATCGTTGAAGTTTTTATCAACACTGTCAGACTGGGGTTGATTTAACTGTGAAGTCGTTATTTTTGGAGGAGTTTCCAATAATATGTATATATTAAAGGGTAGAGGTGGATGATAAACTAGAGACCTTCATTTTAATTTCGTCCAATACAACACAATAACTCACTACTGCCTCATAAATAACCACAGAGCGAAACTAACAACTCATTACGACAGTGTCAACAAAGACCGAGCCCTAAGACAATATGTATTGCAAGGCTATTGTATTGACGGTGCAGTTATAAACTAAGTCAGCTGCGCAATAAACTTCTACCCTGCGAAAAGCAGAGGAGGAAAAGCGAAACGACTCGCTTGTATGAACAGCCAGTCTACTGTACGTTAGGCTGCCACGGGCAACGTTACGTGCTTGTGAAGGCTAACTGACGTAACGTTATGATTACATTAACCAGTTTTGGGTTAACAATCCGTGTTTTCAGGCTTGTGTGCAATTATGATTTCTTAATGTGATCTATTAGCTACACAGGAAAGCAATACAATGCAAAGAGACAAGCTTCTTACCTACTGGAACAGGAACACTCAGTGATAAGTCGCAAAACATCAGCACCAAAATGCCAAGTAAATGCATTTCTAGCGCTACTTGGTGACGACTTAAACCCCAACTTGTTCAACCGTCAAAGGACAAAAAGTCTCCAGAGTTATAAATAGACAGGATCGTTTTTAAGCCATTTACGTGAAGCCAGCGCGCTAATGACACATCCTAGCCGAGAGACAAAACTTTCACAAAGTAGACGGTCACTGACAGCAGTACTGCTCTCCTTTTTTACCTTACTGCTCACTCCGGTTTCCTTTTCTTTAAATGTGCGTCAGTCTCGCTCCTGATTGGTTAACCGCTAATGTAGCTGGCACGTGGAATTGTCGGTTCTCTGCCTGCTGTGTTGATAGTATAATTAGAGGTGTAACAAAAAACAAGGATAGATCATCATAATATTGTTCTACATACATGCCCCACAAGTCTACATGTCTTAAAGTCTATCTGAAGAACTGGTCATGTTTGAGGCCACTAAAGACTTTATTGTCCTTTATGGTATCCATTTTTAAATGAAGGCCTATGAATACAATAGTCATTTTATATATTTAGGAATGTATACCATCATTTTTTATTTTTTTAAGTTAGTAAGTAAATCTAGCTGTCTGCCTTGTCAATGATTCTGTGCAGCTTACGAAAAATATTTAGCCGATGGTCTAGTTCAAACATAATCCTGTATGCTGTCAATTATTGTTCATTTACAACTTTTAAACTGGCCGTTATCCTGGATGATACAGTCTGTTGTTTTCATTTGTCTGATAATAAGGCACATTCTGTTCATCTCAATCTCCCAGTTTAATTTTAGGTCATGAATTCTGCGTTCCCATTGTTATCATATCTTATGCGTTACATGAAATGTTCAGAAACAAATGACGCAGGAGCATAGTAACTAGATTTGTTGTGTCAGTATCTCCAGTATCTGTCTGTCTTCTATGTGTGTGGGCACATGTTATGTGATGTTATGTTATGTTGTCACCAGACCTTTAAAATGGCCTCAATCTTTTGCAGGTGGATCTTTAAAATGGAAGGTATGCAGGTCAGATGGGAAGTGATAGTATAAACACTCTGCTGTGAGAGTGCAGGAGACTTCACAGAGAGAGGGGACTGTAGTCAGGCTGTTTTATGCTTCCGGTAATCCAATATGGCCTGCTTTGCAGTAATACAATAATTTACAACACACTTTTGTCGACTATGCTTTAACAAGCTTGTGATCCTGCTTACTTTAAGTAGTGTTTCCCATGTCTCTTGAATGTGGTTGTATTTTCTTTGTGTTGTTCTTCTCATCATAGTCAGTTGTGACTCTGCATATATGTGCATCAAGAACTAAACAGGGGTCCATTTAGAGTGTTTGTGTTGGAAACAGTCAAATGTTCTGTACTAATTAAATACTAAACACAGAGGGGAGCTACTGACTTTGGGTTTAAGCTAGAAAACATCCAGTTGATAAGAAGGATTTTTAAGTTTTCTATTTTGTTTTCTTATTGTTATTCTTGTTCTTGGTCTCAGTATTAATCAAGAAGTATACTCACAACCTTTAACAATACCACAGTGTAAAACTATATGATAGCAAGTAAAACTATACCTTTTTGGACCTCGCACCTCCCTTTTAGTTGTTTTTAACTTGAAAAAAGTATATACTATCCCCAGACATGTCTGTGTCCGGTGAAATGAGGGGCTGAAGTGGGTGTGACCTTTTGTTTGGGAGTGAAGCAAAGCTGCACAGGACACAGTGCCACCAATAAAAAAAACTAAATTAAAATATATTATATAACAAAATGTATGGATGCACATTAGAATGTAAAGAAGTATATTTGATTGTCTAAAGACTTATTTTGTTTTTATTTATATACGAAAATTGTGTTTCTTTTGTTCGTTGCCTCAGGGCAACATTGTACAGTTACGACATTTATGTTCAGGCAATATCCTGCTATAGGGTGGAGATGATAATTATGATCATAGTTAATGTTTTTAGTTTATTATCTACTGACAATTACAGAAATGGACACAGGAACATATAATGGGAGCAATCGGGCAGTTAGGGTAGTCATAAGATAAAATAAGATAAGATAAAATAATCTGTTATTAGTCCCGCAGTGGGGAAATTTACAGTCATAGTCAGCAGCAGGGGCGTCGTTAGGCCTATTTTAGGGGGGCTGAAGCCCCCCTAAAATGTTCTTCAGCCCCCCCAAATAATATGGCTTTAATAAAAAAAAAAAAATTGAAATGTTTTTTTTTTTTTTGGTGATGCCATTAAATTAAACTATTGTTTCTCACATGGACAAGTTATTTATAACTCTAACATGCTACATACAGTATGTGTGTGCGTTCTGGTTTGTATGTTTTCTCCCCCTTCAAATTACAATCCAACAGCCTATCATCAAACTTAACGATATAAAGTTGACACTGTCAGGTCCATTCTCCATCCATTGTGTGCGGTCCCTTTAAGAATTAGGATTTGGGAGTGACGCGGATATGAAAGCTAGTTTATCCGTCTTTCCTTTACAAGCAGGACAATTATTTCTCTCTTTATTTGAGAAAAGTTCATATTTGTGTTGTCAAATCTCACAATGACCCTGAAATTAGGTCTCTTGTGTTATCATATACTGAATGCAAGCAAAACTACAGAGCAAAATCACACTCTTTCTGATTGAACCAATCTATGAACTGTCTGAAACAATGGATATCCACGGCCCCAAATGGGCCCCAAAAAAAATTTCCGCACACTGCGCGCGCAAACATGCCTCTCCCCTTGGGGCTAAGCCCCCCCCTGTCTTTGAATCCTAGAAACGCCCCTGGTCAGCAGAGTAATGTGTGTGTGTGTGTGTGTGTGTGTGTGTGTGTGTGTGTGTGTAGCTGTGTTTGTTTACATGTGTGTCAGGGGATGAACAGGAAAATGAAGAAGTGGCAGAGGTTCCACGCCTATCCTGATGGAGAACAAATAAACAATATTTGCTGCAAACAAATAAAGACGTTCCCTAATAACAAACCTTGGGTGACAAAGGAGATCAAAGCTGCTATTAATAGGAAGAAAACTGCTTTTCTCAGTGGCGACAACGACATGATTAAAACTGCCCAAAAGGAATTAAAAGCAATAATCAAACAGGGTAAGCGTAAATATAAGGAAAGGGTTGAAGGACAGATGTCCAATAGCAACACAAGGGGCCTCTGGAATGGCATGAAATCTATTACTGGTTATGGGACCAGCTCTCCCAGCGTCCCTGGTGCTGGGATCAATGTAAATGAAGCAAACCAGTTCTTTGCCAGGTTTGATGAATTTGATTTCTCTGCATCTCACGAGAGCGTCCTTTCTTCTCTTGCACTGAGTAGTCCTGAGGACTGTAGCCCAGCTATTGTACTAAATGTTGAGGAGGTTCGACAGCAGCTAAAGCGCCTTAAGGTTAACAAGGCAGCAGGCCCTGACGGTGTCCATCCACTCACCCTTAACGTCTGTTCTGACCAGCTGTGCTCAGTCCTTCACTTTTCCTTGTCTCTGTCTTCATCAAAAATTCTAGTAATGTGGAAAACATCTTGTTTAGTCCCAATCCCAAAGAAAAACAGTGTGAGGAGTCATAGTCTTACTAACCTCAGACCTATAGCCCTGACGTCGCACATAATGAAATGTTTTGAAAGGGTTGTCCTGGGTCACCTGAGTAGACAGGTTTCAGTCTTCCAAGATCCTCTGCAGTTTGCATACAGGAAGGGTGTAGGTGTAGATGATGCACTACTTTTTATGCTCCACAGTATTTATAGTCATCTTGCAACAACTGCCAGCTCTGTTAGGATCATGTTCTTTGACTTTTCTAGTGCTTTTAATACAATCCAACCGCACCTTTTAGCTAAAAAACGGTCTGACACTATCTTAACTAAAACTGGAGCTCCACAGGGAACAGTTTTATCCCCCTTTTTATTCTCACTTTATACAGCTGACTACAGGCAGAGCTATGTGTCCTGTAACATCCAGAAGTTCTCAGATGACACTGCTCTGGTTGGTCTACTTACCCGAGGCAACGACCTGGCCTAAACGGGCGGTTGAATCTTTTGTCAGCTGGTGTGATGACAATTTTTTAAAACTAAATATTGGAAAGACCAAAGAGTTGGTTATTGATTTCAGAAGGAAGAAGGAGGAGGTCTCCCCAGTGACAATTGCAGGTCAGCAGATAGAAATTGTCCAGTCGTATAAATATCTCGGGGTCTATTGTGGTGGAAAATTTCTAGGTTAATCGGGAGGAGAGAGTTTATGTTCTCAAATCAATAATGAAGTCATCAGAAGATTCAAAGTTGTCTTTTTCCGTTTATTCTCTTGCAAGAGGGAAGAAAGCACAGCAACTACGTATTCAGTAGACTGCGTGAAACCTTCTTCGAAGTGCAATATTCAACATCATTTATGCATACAAAGGTTCACGCCTTTACAACTTCAGATAATGCGTCAAAAGGGGAGTAAAAGTATTTCAGACAAAGGATGTCTGTTAGTCAAGGTCTCTCTGTGTCTCTGTCTTACCAACAAAGAAACAGTGTCTCAACAGATAACAAGACACCTGGATACAAAACTAATTAAAATCATCTCCTGACTTCCTCACATCGAGTATTACATTCTTTAAACATTTCACATGACACTATAACATAACCTAACTTATATACGTGGTCAAGATATCTGTATTACGATCTATACTATAACATAATTCTATACTACAACGTAATTTCCCATTACACTATCTGGACAGTAAATTAAACTGGAAGAAGAACACTGATGCTGTTTTTAAAAAGGCTCAGTCCAGACTCTTCTTCCTGAGGAAGCTGAGATCCTTTGACATCAGCAGGAAGCTTCTTCATGTTTTCGATCAGGGGATCTTGGCTAGTGTTCTTTTTTATGCTGTGCTCTGCTGGGGGGGGCGGCATCACTGTGGATGATAAAAACAGGATCAATAAGATGATCAAAAAGGCTGGCTCAGTGATTGGCCTTACCCCAGACTCACTGGAGGTCACTGTTGAAAAGCGAACAAGGGCCAAGTTAAAAAGAATTGTCTTGTTTGAAGGCCATCCACTACACGGTGTCTTCAATGGACTCTGAAGCTCATTTAGTGAGAGGCTCAGGATGCCTCAGTGTTCTACTGAACTACGAAGAAGGTCTTTTGTTCCAGCATCAGTCCGATTTTTTAATGAACACCTTTAGAGGTTTTTATCTTTCTGATGTCGATCATGTTTTATATTGCATTGTCTGGTGTTATTTATCTTTTGTAATGTGTTTCTGTCTGTTGTGTACTGTGTTGTGTACTGTGTTGTGTACTGTGGACTGTGTCGTCTGTATGAGTTTTTGGGTGACAAATGAGTTTCCCCACTGGGGATTAATAAAGTTTTCTAATCCAATCTAATCTAA